GACGCGTTCCTGCGGCTGCTGCACCCGCTGATGCCTTTCGTCACCGAGGAGTTGTGGGAGAAGCTGCACGCGGAGCTCGGACTCGCGCGGTCCGCGCCGCTGCTGATGCTCGCAGAGTTCCCCATGCCGCAGGCCGAGCTCGACGCCGCGGACCGCGCGACCGTCGAAAGCTTCCTGCGCGCAGTGCGCGCGGCGCGCTCCGCAATCGGGCAGTTCGAGGTGAAGCCTGCAACGCGGCTCGCGTTCGCCTCGCCCGACGCGCGGCTCGCGCCGTTTGCCGCAGAGTTCTGCGCGCTCACGCGCAGCAGCGCGCTGCAGCTGTGCGCCGCGCCGCCGCCCGGCGCGCTCTGCGTAGCCGCAGAGGCCGGCGAGAAGCTCTACCTGCTGCACGAGGGCGCCGTCGACTTTGCGCGCGCGCAGCAGAAACTCGCGAAGCGCGCCGCGGCACTCGAGGCGCTGCTAGAGAAGGTGCGCGCGCGCGCAGCCAGCGCGCACTTCCGCGAGAAGGCCACCGAAGAAGTTAAGGAAAAAACGGCGCAGACGCAAGCGGCGTACTGCGCAGAGCTAGAAGAAATTCGCAGCACGCTGCGGAACATCGCGGCCGCGCTCGACGCGGGCGCCTAGGTCGCCTAGGTCGCCGCGGGCGCGTCGGCCACGCAGGTCTCGAAGTCGAACCAAGAAGCGACCAGCGGCGAGATCTGCAAGAGCGCCTCATTGCCGCGGCGCAGCGCGTCGAGCACCGGCGCCGGCATCCCGGTGTAGACCGGGTCGAACGGCAGCGGCACCGCGCCGAGCGCTTCCGCCAGCGGGCGGTGCGCCGCGAGGAACGCGGGCGGCTGCTCGTTCGGCACGTTCACGCACTGGTGGAACTCGCACGCGTGCAGCAACATGCTCTTGCTGCGCAAATTGCCCGCGTACATCGGCGGCTGCACTGCCGCGCCCGCGTAGACGAAGCTCGGCTTGACCACCTCGCCCGCAGGCTGCTCCTCGTCGCTCACGCTCTCGAGCGAGCGCGCATGCGGCTGTTCGACGACCATCGGCTTCTCTGCAGCGTCGTCGAGGAAGCGCTCCAAGTTGTCCGACTCCTGGAAGTTCAGCACGAGGTTCTCAGGCGCCGCCGGCGCCGCGCCGCTCAGCTGGCTGCCGAGCCGCGCGATCGGCGCGGCGAAGCGCGAAAGCTTTTCCGAGAGGCGCTGCCGGTTCGAGTTCTGCATCTGCTGCACCAAGTTGTGCTGCCGCGCCTCCTCGACCTCGTTGGGCGCGATGAAGTGGTAGGTCTGGTCGCCGCTCGCCGTCACGCCGTAGGCCAGCCCGGCGAACTGCCCCGCCTCCGGCATCGCCGTGCTGTCGACCGCGAAGCGCGCGTCGAGCACTTTGCGGCCCGCCTTCGCGAGTGCCTGTTTGTGCCGCTCCGCGGCCGCGGCGTGCTCGCGGTTGAGCTTCAGCTGCGCCGCGGTC